GGGTGGGGGGGTTGACCGAGCTTGCCGGGTCCCCTAGGTAGCTGAGAGAATCCCTCTCCTCCCCTTCCCTCGCGCTCACTGAAAAAAAGCAGAGTGCTGACTGAACATCCCAAAAAAGCTGAAGGAGGGGCTGGTATTTTAAGAAAACTACCAAAGCAGAGAAGGACTGTAAGGCAGAAAGGGGGAAAATGCAAACTATTCTCTGTCTCTTCTAGAAAACGGTGACCTTTAGTCATGGCCCCCTGATCTCCAGTGGGTCCCTCCTTCACTCTCACAGTTCCAGCCCATACCTGAGGCTTCCTACCCAGAAAAAGGAAGCCAGCAGGTATTCTCAGGTGGAGACCTAGACCCTTTTCTCTCCCTCTCTGTTAACTCAGGCCGGGCACTGTTAGGCTCAGGAAAGTGCAAGGCCTGTAGACATATAGGAAGCAAGAGATCTCATTATACAAGGAAACCTTTTGATTCTACCTAGTGATAGCTCAAACAGCAAGAAAAGAAGCAATAGTTTAAATTCTCATTGAAAGCACACCTACTGTTTAATGGGTATAGGTTTCCTTTTGGGATGAAGATGTCATCTCACTGGACATAAGTAATGGTTGCACATCATTTTGAAGGTATTCAATGACACTGAATTGTACACTTTAAAATGTTTAATGGTTGATTTTATGTTATATGCATTTTACAGAGATAAAAAGACACAACTATTAAATGTAAAATTTTAAAGTTGCCAAAGGTTACCAGCTGGAATGCTGGAAAGAATGCCACATGATCTCAATAAAGCAAGAAATGGTCCATCAAAGTAAGATGGAATTTTATGAGGAAAAGAAATAGGAGGAAGATGGGCTAGGGAAGTAGAGTAGTAGAGTGCTTGCCTAGCACGCATGAGGCCCTGGGTTCAATCCCCAGCACTGCAAATTAAGTAATTTTTTAAAAGGAGGAAGAAAACAAAGACATATAAAATAATTATGAGGGGTAATTAGGCTTAAACAGAACAGACTACTCTGGATTGGAATAGGAAATAAAAGGTCATCAGAGCATAAATTAAACAAAATCAAGTTAGTGGGATGTGTTTATAGGAGCATGATTTACATAAACCAGGAAAAATAATCTTTTCTGCTATTTTAACTTGGCATTGGTCAGGCTTTTCTTAGCACACATTGTCCTGTTCTGGTCTCTGCACTTGGCTGTAAGGGAAACAGCCTTTGCTAAGGTCACGAACACCATTTGCCCACTCCAATGCATAGTAGCTGCCATAATTCCCAGCCCAACAACTCTGCTCAATTTTCTCTCCTGATATGAGCTTCATACAGCTTTCTCGCTCCATAACTTAAAACAGTTCCACTCAGGCTCTAAGTGCAAAGGAACTGGCCCTCATCAACACTGGCAACTGTTGGGGCTGGGTTCTGACAGGTCCAAGTCATGCCCCCACCATGTGGTCACACTGTGGCTCTGCAGTTTTCACATGTGCAAAATTCACCAACACCTTACCCTATTCTCCTGTTAACACAAAACCACAGACAGTGCTTTATAGCCAAACATAAAATGATGAAAGAAAATGAGGTTAGGTTCCTTATTTCTTGTGTTGCTATTTGAAGTTGAACCCCAAGATTCCCCCAGGAAGCTCAGCTTTCAGCCAGGATTCTAGTGGTAAAGAATCTGAGGCCATAATTACCTGGAGCAGCTGGACTCACATGGGGATCGTTGCTGCCCTTCATACTGCTGCACCAGTGCCCGCACACTCCAGTATGGATTCTCAATCTCTTCATCCATGCTGCTGTTTCTACAGCCAAGTAGAGAGTGTCAGTTCAGCAGTTCACAGAACTGTACTAGTACTGATATACTACTGTTCTATGAACACTATAGGTAAGAAGAAAGGCAAAACCTGCCTCAAAGACACCTGAAATCCAGTACAGAAAGAAGACACAAAAACAAGCCATTTTGTTCATCCCTGTAATACCTTGGGGTCACAATGCCCTTCAGCAGAAACACAGCCCCACAACACTTCTCGCTTGCCATGACTCTCCAGGACAGCTTGGCCTTCTGGATTTCAGGGCTGGGCACCCCCCAGAAGCAAGCACACTGTGCCAAAGGTATGCATTTAAAATGTGGGCCAGGCATGGTGGAGCATGCCTGCAATTCCAGCGCTCCAGAGGCTGAGGCAAGAGAATCACCGAAAGTTTCAGGTCAGCCTGGACTAGTGAATTCAAGAGAATTATATACTGAGACCCCGCCCCAAAGTTTCAAATACACACACACACACACACACACACACACACACACACACACAGGGGCACTTCCACTTATGGTTCCTTCACATTTTGCTAACCGAAAAATAAGCCCTCCCCAACCTCCATTCCATGCTCTTTCCTGCAACATGGGGCTGTTTGGGTGGAGCTTCTATCTACTGTATGGTCTCAGAAAATACCAAAGAGGGAGAGAGAGATCAGTTCCTACCCCCAGATTTCTGCCCTTACCTCTGTCTGTATCGGAAGATATCCCGTCCTGACCGTGACATGTCATGGCACACATCAGCCAGAGCAGCAGCTGCTCCCTGAGCCACTGCAGTGGCACAGTGTGGTTGGTGACTCTGCAGCGGGGATCTGGAGTCCTGTCCTTGGCTCACTGTCCTGCTAGAACCGGGTTTGAAATGAGCTGCCAAGGCAAGGACCAGCCTCATGATAGATTTTAGGTTTCCTTCCACAATATCTGAAAGAGAGAAGAGAACAAGAGATCCTGAGAGAAAAGCAGAGGCTGAGGACATGCATTTAATATGTATTGCTAGTGATAGAGGCAAGCAAGGCAGTCAAGGTTTCTGTCCTCACAGAGGGGTATGTTCAACAAGAGAGACAAAAGATATTTTTTAACGGCATGTATAATAATAAAGTACAACACTATGTTTAGACAAGAGAACTACAAGAGTCTCTGGGAGCTTAGAACAGAGTTATCTTGTAGCAATCAGGGATATTCCTATAGGAAGTGACTTTTCAGATGAGACTTGATTGATGAATAGTGGTTCATTATTTAAGAAGAGAGAAAGGAAAAATGAACAGGAGGTCTGAAGGTCTAGAGGTAAAAGAGCATGACATATTAGAGCTACACTGTCCCATATGAGAGCCATGAGCTACATCTGGCTATGGAGCACTTAAAATGACACTGCTCTACACTGAAATGTGCTGTAGGTGTAATTTACTTCAACACAATGAGAAATGCAAAATAGGGCCAGGGATTTAGCTCAGTGGTTCCACTGCCTGACTTGCAAGCACAATGACCTGTGTTCGAACCCAGGTACCACCAAAAAAAAAAAAAAGCAAAATATCTCATTAGACTTAGCATAGAATGCAGAATATTCAATTACTTTATATTGATAGCATGCTGAAATATTTTGAATATACTGGGTTAAACAGAATATTATTAAAATTAATTTCACCTGTTTCTTTTTTGTAATGTGACTATTAGAAAATTTTAAGTTACCTATGTAAGCCTTACTATATATCTGTGGTCAAACCTTGTGGTGGAGGAACTAAAAATCATCATAGCCAGAGCACCAGATGCAGGGGGAGAAGGGAAAGATGAGGCTGTCAGGGTAGGAATCAAAGGTGGGTCATATGAGATGAGGGAGTTATAGGAATGATTCTGGATTCCACCTTACAGGCCTTCAGGTGCAGGAGTAGTGCAAGTATATGTACTCTTAGATCATTCTGGCTGCAGTGTGGAAAGCAAAAAAGAAAGACAAAAATCAATGTAGTAGGGCTAATTAGAAAACTTTCATTTCTCCAGGTAAAATAAAATGATGCCCTGAATGGCACTGTTCCCTCAAAATAGCTGACTTTACTGGGCTGGATCCTGAAGCCCACTCTACATGGGGACCAGAATAGAGATATCTGGTATTCTAAGGGGCTGGAGATTTAGCTCAGTGGTTCTGCTGCCTGCCTCACAAGTGCATGGTCCCGAGTTTGATCCCCAGTACAAAAAAAAAAAAAAAAAAAACAGGCAAAGATATCTAGCATTCTAAATTTTGCCCTAGAAAAAAAGAAGAAAGCAGATTAAAAAAAAAAAAAAAAAGAAAGAAAATGAAAACAAAAAACAAAGTGATACAGGTCTGGTAAAAGTAAAGGAAAGGAGATAGGTAAAATTCTATTTGTTTAGCTTCAAAATCTCTCAAATATGTAAAGCTTGGAAAGAGGTTATTTGATACCTTCTATCAGATGCTATCACTGATCAGTATGTGCCTGCCCGAATGATCCCAACTCAAGGAACACCAATAAACCCACACGAAAGGAGGGCTCTTTCTGCTCTCATTTTCATCACAACCATAGGCAATGAGACCCAGAATTGGAAGCTAAAACAGATACAAATCTAGGCAATCCTAGAGAAGCAGCCAGAGGACCAGGGAGCCTATGCTTTCTCAGGACACCTACAGTTCTCCTGCCTTGCAACCTGGAAAATCCACCACAAAGACAGGATATGAACGAGTTATGGAGCCCCTTTCATTCTGCCTGGACTATTTCGATATCCAAAAAAAAGTGTTATAAAAACTTTCCTTCTAGGGGAAACCCACTTTCCAGTCCCCCTCCTGTCTCTCTTAGACAGAAGCTATCTTTCTCTCAATAAATTCTTCCTACTCAAAAAAATTTCTTTTCTTCTAGAAAACTGGATGGGAAAAGCACAGGTTATGACAATTTGAAATAATACTTGGTCATGAAACCCAAGGAACTTGAAAAAATATAATCTATCTTCATGTTTTTTTTAACTTTCTACATTGGAAGCTACTCTGTTTTTTTCTATCTTCATTTTTTATAAACGAGATATTCTAAAATTAATATCCCAACTTTGTCATTTATTCTCTTATCATTAATTTCCCTCTCACACTCAAGTACATCTATATTCAATTAAAATGAATAGAGAACATCTATCTCCATCTAGGCTTCTAAAGCACTCAGATTTTGATAATCACTCCATCAGAAAAGGAAAATTTTGGGAAAAAACAATACAAGGTCAGGCCTGATCCTACTCCAGTCTTCTCAGAACCCTTGGCTACATAACCAACAGCACTTTCAAGACTGGTAAACCGCAGTAAGGCTCAATGACTCATCCACCAAGGAGGTGATGAGGCACCACACTGACCTTTAGCTGAAGTCTGGTGCATACGAATCTTTTTGGAGGCCACAAACTGTAGCACTTTCTCTACATTATTCTTCATCTCTTGTTGGTTACTAGGACTCAGTTGTACCCCACTCAGCTTTTCTCCTGCTGTTAAGAAAAAGGAAATATAGCGAGGAATATTTTCAACATTTCACAGCAGCCAAACACACAGAAAGGGAGTTGTGATATGAAAACTAAAATTATCCATAAATATACAAGTGTGGGCCGGGGATTTAGCTCAGCAGTTCGGTGGCCTGCCTTGCAAGCGCAAGGACCCGAGTTCAGTCCCTGGTACCAAAAAACAAAAAACAAACAAACATAAATATACAAGTGTGGGCCGGGGATTTAGCTCAGCAGTTCGGTGGCCTGCCTTGCAAGCGCAAGGACCCGAGTTCAGTCCCTGGTACCAAAAAACAAAAAACAAACAAACATAAATATACAAGTGAGATAAATCCTGGTGTTTGTAATTTGTCTTGTTTTGGTACCGGGATTGAACTCAGGACCTTGTGCTTTCAAGGCAGACAGCAGAACCAGTGAGCTAAATCCCCAGCCTAGTATTTGTAATTTGGATGGGGAAGAGGAACATGAAAAGCCTTTTGGAGGGTCTTTTAATTATCAAGTCTATGAACTTGGGATCCTGTAAAGTGACTGTGTTACATTTATCCATTCAGCAAACATCCTGTTGTGTGCAAGGTGCTGTTATGTGCACCAGAGTCTAGTGAACCAGGTAAACAAAGTACCTTCCCTCTCTGTAGGGACAGCAGATAACAACCAAGCCAATAAGTTAATGTTTAGTGTAATTTCAGGTAATGGCAAAATAAAGAGGAGTAACCATGGCCTCACTGATAATATATTTGTGCAGGGATTAAATAAAATAAGAAAAGTTACGATTCCAGTCTGGGCAACCACAATACAAACCCAAAGTTGGGAATGAGCTCAGTGTATATTAGGAAAAGCAACAAGACCAGTGCAGCTGCAGTGCAGTGAGCAAGGAGCCAGGTAGGCAAAGTCACATCCGGCTTTGTGGACCACAATAAAGTACTTGAATTCTATGCTAAGTGGAATGAGAAGCTAACAGAGTTTCAGGCAAAGGATTAGCATTCTCTAGTTTTTTGTTTTTTGTTTTTTGTTTTTCTCAAAATTGACTCTGTGTGGATACAGATTATGTGAGGGATGAAAGAGAGAGATTAGTCAGAGCATAATGAAAATAGTCCAGGCAAGAGGTAATGATGATTTGGGTTAAAGTAGAAGAGAATGATGGTGAGAAGTCAAACACTGATTATATTCTCAATATAAACCACACACTATATGCAAAGGATTAGACAGGATACACAAGGAAAAGAAAATAATTAAGAACAGCATTGAAGGATTAGGGAGGTAGCTTAGTAGAAACTACTTGTCTAGCATTTGTGAGGCCCTGGATTCACTCCCCAGTATAGGAGGCGGGGGATGACTCCTAAGTGTCTTGCTTTACAACTGGGTAGATGATAGTTTGTTGTGTTTCTCAGATGAAGAAACCTGGAAGACAAAGGCATGGGTGTGGGGAAGGAAATCCAAAATTCTAATGAGAACATATGAAATTAGAGCTGCATGTTAGAGACCCAAGTGGAGATTTTGACTAGGAAATTAGATATTCATGTCTAGAACTCAAAGGAAAAGTGAATGGCTGACCAGGCAAATCTGGATACAGACTTTGCTGTTATTTTTATATAGCAAAGTTATAATTTAAAGTAGTGTTTGGACCGGGGATTTAGCTCAGTGGTTCTGCCGCCTGCCTCGCAAGCACAAGGTCCCAAGTTTGATCCCCAGTACCAAAAACAAAATAATAAACAAATAAAATAAAGTAGTGTTTAAGGGCTGGGTATGTAACTCAGTGGTACAGCATGTGTCTAGAATGCACCAGATCCCAGGTTCAATCCTCAGCACTGCAAAAAAGACAAAAAGAAAGGATGGCTTCTAAGGGCCGGGGAGTTAATTTGAGAAAGAACAGAGGAGTGGGCCAGGGATTTAGCACCTTGGTGCTGCTGCCTGCCTCACAAGAGCAAGGTCCCAAGATTGGTACCAAAAAAAGTAAGAAAGAAAAAACACAGCAGGGAGGGGGGGGAGGGAGAGAGAGAGAGAGAGAGGTCCTATCCTTTAGAATTTCTTACCAGAAAAATAAAAAAAAAGGTTCCATGTATGACTTATTTAAATAGATGAAAAATTAAGTGTTTAAGATGGACTTTGGAATTAAAGCAGGTCTAGGTTTGTACCTCCACTTTTTTTTTTTTTTTTTTGTACTAGGGATTGAACTCAGGACCTTGTGCTTGTGAGGCAGGCAGTGGCACCACTGAGCTAAATCCCCAGCCCTGCACCTATACTTTAGCACTTACAGTTATATAACCTTATAAAGTTGCCTAATCTCTCTAGACTTCATAACATGAGTAAAATAGTAGTTTAAATTAAGCATTATTACTCTGAAGATTTCAGATTTTCAGATTAGTAATGCTCTATTCAAATATTCCAAAATCTGACACATTTCTAGCTACGAGCATTTTACCCAACCTGTACGCATATGCACATCATAAATAAAATATTGTGCTTAACTTCTTTGTTTGACAATGTATACTACTATGTACTCAATAAGTATATTTATTTGTATGAATCCTCTCTTAAGCTTGTTTCCTAAAGGTGGGGACAATAGTAATTGTTGGCCAAGGATGCATGATTAAATGAAATTAAACAAAATAGAAAGCATTCAATCCTGGCATTACTATTGGCATTGTCATAGTCACTATAAATGAATGCTCTGATGAACTCAACAGCTGTCCCTACAAGGATAGGATAGGATATCCTACATGGACAGGCTGCCTGTTACAAAGCTTGCTGCCACCTTACTATCTGCAAGCCCCACATCCCTCAGAGTCTAAAGCAAAATCAGCTGACTAATAAATGTTTCAGTACCGGTAATGTGCACCTGGTTAGGGGTGGTGGAAACAAAAAAATTATATTGTATATGCTCTTAAAGAACTCAGCCTATGGCTGGGGATTTAGCTCAGTGGTTCCACCTCCTGCCTCACAAGTGCCAAGTCCTGAGTTCGATTTCAGTGCCAAAAAAAAAAAAAAAAGAACTCAGCCTATATAGAAGAGATAGGTAAGTAAACAAATGATTCAAATGATTGTGACTACTTCATTGAGAAAAATAATTACAGGACTATGGATAAATGCTATGTGTCTTAGTTACTTCTCTCTCATTGCCGAGACAAAAATACGCAACACCCAAAGCTAAAGGGGAAAGGTTTAACTTTTCATAGAGGTTTCGGTCCATAGTTGGATGGCTCCAAGGCAGAATGGCACATGGCAGAGGGATGTCTCAGAGAACTACATTTTGTGGCTCCCACAAGGTAGCAAAAGCAGCAAGGGACTTTAAGAGGGTCTTTCTGCCCCTTTTATCTTATCCAGACTGCTGGGATTAGGGTGGTGCCAAACCAATCAGTACACTGGTTTAGTAATCACACACCCTTAATCCCAGTGTCACACACTCTAGATTCAGCCACCTTTGAAAAAGTCCTAATACTGCATGAGGCCTTGGGGGAATATCTAGACACAAGCCATAACACTATGGAAATAAATTATGATACCATGTAGTAAGAATCACACCAAGGCTTCAATGTGAAAAATTCTTTTATGAAACAAATAGCATCATAGAGGGGTCTTTTTGCTGGTAACAAACATAGAGGGATCTTTTTTGATTGTATACTACTTCCTTTTCTGGTCTTGGTTTAGACCTCAGTTCTCCTAATGGGACTCTACATAGACATAATTTCTTCTGGCAGGCTTCAGTCTAGACATCAGTGCTTCTAGTCAGCCATTCCTGAAGCCCTAACACTGGGCAGTGTGTCCCTTCTACATTCTCCTCTCTGCATCCATCGTATTAGGGTACTAAGTATGTCAATGGAATTAACTTTACTTTTCAGTCTTTCCACTTAGATTGGGACTCTTGAGAATATAGATTGTGCTTATTATATTCTTAAACATAATACATTACCTGCCACTCAGTGTTTAAATAAATAAAAAGATTAACCTTGAACAAATTTTGTTTTTGTTTTATTTTGTAGTACTGAAGATTGAACCCAGGGCCTTCACACTAGGCTATACCCCAGCTCCCTTTTTATTTCTTGAGATAGGATCTCATTAAGTTGTTAAATTGCTCAGGCTAGGCTTGAACTTGCAATCCTCCTGCCTTAGCCTCCCAGGGTTATGGGATTACAGGTATATATATGCCACCATGTCCACCTTGAGAAAGTATTTTAAATCTCTATTTCCTTTGCTATATAGTCAAAAAGGAAAGAACTGGCTCTGAAGGGCATACAGAGAATAAAGGTGGTCCTATTCTGGTATACTGTAGCATCAGAGTCCAGAACCAACTGACCAACAATCTCAATGAGGTATGCCAGGATCACCCCATCCCGGAGATCCTGTCGCAGGTCCTGTACGGGCTTCACTGATGGCCTCTTCTTCAGCTGTGCATTCACCCAGGCCACATAGGCCTGCAGCTGTTGCTGGAAAATAAAAAGTGGAAATAAGGAAAGGGTGGCGTGTTAGTTTTATTCCCTATCCTAATATCTCTAAGGCAGCACAAGAGATTGGAGTATGGTGAAGGAAAAGAAAGAGGTTTTAAAGAAAGAAGAAGAAAAGTGGTTTCAGGGTCAGACCCAGAGGATGCCCTAAAATTCTCTAGTTCTATACTAATCTCCAGGGATAATATAACCTCTGACTTGGGTGGCAATGGAGACATAGATAAAGAGGTGAGTGTTTCAGTGACCGTGACCTGCTTTTCTCAAGTTTGGCTCTGTTGACAGGGATGAGAAGTAACCCCAGGATCACAGCCAGTTTTCAGGTGCAATCCTGTTGCCAGCAACTCACCAAGCTTTTCAGTGACAATCCCTCATCCACTGTATGTACAATAGACTGAGATACTCATACAATTCTCTTGCAGGGTCAGAGATAAATAATCCAAACTCAGAGCTGCCTCTCCCATAGCTGTTTTCTTCAAAATGAGATTTATGTGAAATCATCTCACAGTCAACCCAAGATTTACTCTCCTAAACCCATAATCCTACAGAGTTAGTTTTAATCCCTGCTTTATGTTGTCAAAGAGGATCTGGTTACTAAAATGAACACAAGGAAAAAGAAAAGGTACGGTGAATAGTGCTACTGAAGATTGAGTGGCACCTTTAGTTACTTCAGCCAGAGTTAGGGTCCTGTATTATCAGAAAACAGTCAGGCAACTAGGTAGAGATGTAACTCATCCCAACCCTGGAACAATCGTACATCTTCCTTGTTGTCCCCTGGACAGAACTTGTACTCAGATGTTTACTCTGAATCTTCTGACAGAAGATGGGCACTAATTTCTAAGTAGTACATGAATAATGTCCTAACCCACACAACAGCCGTGTGTGGTTTCTACAGCAGCCCGAGATCCTGAACCTAAAAATTAAATTCAAGAGCTCATTGGGCTGGGGATTTAGCTCAGTGGTGCTGCCGCCTGCCTCACAAACACAAGGTCCCAAGTTCAATCCCCTGTACTAAAAAAAGAACACATTGTATTAAATTATAATTTGGTTAAAGTAAAGTTTATTTTTAAATTCTAAGTACTTCTTAATGAAATGATGTTGGAAATTACCCACTGGCTGCTTCCTGAGCTTAAATCTTCATTAGGGTTTTTTTAAATTAGTTTCATTCCGTCAATTTATGGAAATAAATGAAGTTTTTGTGTGTGTGCTAAGGCAGTAATCTATCAGCTACTGAAAAAATGTAGGAAATGCAATAATCGGGAGGGAGTAGGGAGGGCCTAATGTTACTGAGTGCCTACCATGAACTAAATGCTATTTTTACTGTTTTGTGCACGCTCAACAAGTAAATTAATATATCTGCCATACAAGTGACCTGAAACACAACAGATGTCAATATTACTGTCATCACCATTGTCATTCAATTCGTTTCTCAAAAAAGGCATTACAGAGTTAGTATTATCTCCATTGTTTGGAGAGGTGCGCAACATCTCTGATGTCCCCATAACTGGAACATAGCAGATGTGGTGTTAAAACCCAGTAAATGTTGTCCAAGAATTTATCAAGGGCCCCCTGCTGTCCAACTCACTGCTAGAACAGAAATGGATGCACCTTCTGCCTAACACAGGCCAGACGCAAATCGCCAAGGCCCAGCTGAGTGGTGTAAGGCTCCAAGGTCTGTGCCCGCCTTGCAGCGAAAGCACTGCCCAAAGCAGACCAGACAAAGGGTACCTCTGGAGTGAACCACTCCTTTGGGGGTGGGGGGGAAGGGAGTTAAGACCAAACAAGGGAACTAACAGTAACAGCTTTGCCAGTAATCCCAGCAATCGTGGAGGCTGAAGCAAGAAGACTGCAAGTTGAAGCCTTGCCTTGTCAACTTAGCAATTTAGTGAGATCGTGTCTCAAAATAAAAAATAAAAAAGGCTGGGGATGTTGCTCAGCATGAAGACACTGAGTTCAATCCCACTGAGTTCAATCACACACAAAAAATAATTAACTAATCAGAGGTGACTGAAAAATACTGTGAAAGCTTAAATTTAAAATATTTATTATAGTAAAAGACACAGTGCCATTACCTCCCCCCCATACTCACCCCGGTTTTGAACACACCACATTTATACATTTATTCCGTCATTCTTGCCACTATTTTGTTTGTTCTGGGTTTTCTGAGAAAAGGTCTCACTAGTCCACACTGGCTTGAACTCACTATGTAGCCCAGGCTGTCCCCAAACTCATGGGAATCCTTCTGTCTCAGCCTCCTGAGTGCTGAGATTATAGGTATGTACCGTTATACCTTGCTCTTGTGACTTTCTGAAGCAGTTACTCCTCTACCTGCTTTCTCTTTGCAAGTCTCAAGTCAAGCATTATCTTTTGGAGAAAGCCTTCTCTAGCCCTCTCACCTACCTTGGACTCCTTGAAAGCATCATGTATCAAGACATTCAGATCAACAAATTTGACTGCTGTAACTGTACAAAGAGCCCCATGGCTTAGAAGCTTGAAGGAAAAAAAAGGGGGAAGGAAAAAAGCTTACAGACTGGTAGCGACAAGTATATGATGGGGTGGATAGGGTATAAATGTGAAGAAAGTATTAGTCCAACCTGAAGACAAGCTTCAGGGGATTCCTAAAAGAGGCAAAGAAGATAGTGAGTGAACTCAGAGGGTCTGAAAAACACCTTGTTCGGGGAGTCACAATAGTTACAATTATTTGACACTTAGGGTAACAGGTGCTCAAAAAGTATTTGTTTGAGTCATTGAATCATTTGTCCCATTTCATCAAGCCAAGGCCTAAAATAATGCAAAAGTTAATCAATCACGAAGGGACAGGCAATAACAAGTGTTTTTCACTAGGCCAAGATAATCTCTACTTAAGTAGCCATAGCCTTCCCCCAGCTATAGAACAGAAGTAATCTGTCTCTGAGGAGAGATTCCTAATGGTACTTTTCATGCATGATAAGTCTTCGGAGTGCACAGCATAAATGGTAACAGTCACTACTTTTCTGAAAAATTCTGTCACAAAATCTATGCTGTGTCCTTTAAGCACATTTTCTTTACTGCTAATCTATCAGGAAGATGTTACTGTATCCATATTGTTGACTGGAAATTAAGACTAAAAATCAGATGAAATACTTACTCACGGTCACTCAGATAATAAACCATGAATACAAGATTCAGGTCTACCTCCTAAACCAGCATTCTTTCCACACCTAAATAAATGCATCTGAGTTTTAAATGACTTCACTGAAATTATCAGCATGTACTTCAGTGTAAACCACCTCCTCCATTGCATTCAATGTTTTAGTGCCTTTTACAGTATTCTATACTACATGACTATCTCCTACTCACAATGTGGTACTTAGAGCACCACTGGGGGACCTGGTAGAAACACAGACTCCCAGGCTCCTCCCTAACCTTACCAAAGCAGAACCTCTATTTTAACACAATACCCTAGTGACTCCTACACAGTTAAGTGTGAGAAACACTGACCCAGTCCACTATTTCCATACTGATTGCACACCAAGGTAACAAAGAAAGCTTTTCAAAATTTGCCCTTACCCCTTACACCAAATTCTCTCCAGGGATAAAATTCAGCTTTATCTTCCCAAGCCCCCGCGTGATTCTTACAGAACTGAGTTCACTCCTTTCCTAGCTAAACGTTCCAGTTCCCTTAACCAACACGTTCACATACCTGGTTACCGATCAGAATCACTTGGGAAGCTTAAAAAACAAAAAAACTAGCACTTTCTGGGCCCTGCTATAGATAAATAGATTTTTTTTTTCCTGAGGGTGTGAGGCCCAGGTGAATCAATATTCCTCAAGTGCTCCCAGGTAAGTGCAGAGACAGGGGTCAAAATGAACCATTCTTGGTCTGGGGAATTAGCTCAGTGGTTCTGCCACATGCCTCGCAAGCACAAGGTCCCGAGTTCAATACCTAGTACCAACAAAACAAAAAAAAAACGAACCTGAGCCAGGCGTGGTGGCACACATCTGTAATCCCAGCACTCAGGAGGCTGAGGCAGGAGGATCACTGTGAGTTCGAAACCAGTCTGGGCTACATAGTGAGTTCCAGGTCAGTCTCAACTACATAGTGAGACCCTGTCTCAAAAACAAATAAAAAACAAAAATTCACAACAATAAAAAAACCCCGAAAAATTCTTTACATGAAATGGTTACAAAGTATTACGTTCCTCTGGTCTAAATTTCTCTGAAACCATGACACTTAGAACCTAATACAAAACTGTGTGTGTGAAGAAGATACTGAAAGAAATAGAAATTTAAAGTGGTCAATTTTCAAGATAAGTAGATAACTCTGAGTGGAAAATTACTAGCAGTTAAGATTGCCTAACAGCTTGCAGGCATGACAACATCCATGCATCTAAGAGAAGCTAAGCAAATGGGACCTTACAGGAGAGATAAACTTTAAGAAAGTCTTTCTTAAGAAATGTAGGCAGGAGTAGGGAAGGGAGGAAAAAAGTTTAGACAATGTCTGGGAAGAGACTATACGCCCCGTAATATTCAGCCACTGAGGAATCAACCAGGGGAGAGACCTGTGTCCTAGGAAATAAATTGCTTGCTGTAACTGCCCAGGTGTGCCTCCCTACCAGACACCCAGACTGGTATTCAAGTCTCACTTCCACTGTGCTTCATGTCTCTGAGTCCATTCACTGGATTTGGACAAAAAAATTTACTGCTCACAGGTATGAAGCTTCCTCATTCAAGAAACTCCTTTTCTTCCCTTCCTTCTCTGGTCACTAGACCATTTTGTTAACTCACACTGAGGAGTCATTGATAATCTCTAATTATTATTTTTTAATTTATTGACTTTTCATTATGAAATAATTTCGGGCTCACAAAAAGTAACAATATCAAGAGTTTCCCTATGCCGATTACCCAACTAATCAGAAAGTTTATACCTTATTAACCATAGTACAGTGATCAAAACAGGAAACAACACTGACATAATATCATTAACTGGAGATTTTATTCATATT